CTAACATTCGAGCCACTATATAACTCTGCCAATAAGGATACAAACTTAAAACTTAAACCAAACTTTAATAATTTCCTCCATAATAAATTCCTATCAACAGAGTCAAATGCTGATGCTAAATCTATAAAAAAAGCATAGACCTTACGCCGTTTCCTACTTAATGTCTTAGCAATTACAGTATACAGAATAAAAATATTATCAACAGTCGAGTAGCCTGCACGAAAACCAGCCTGACTCTCTGAGAGAATATCTCTCATACTCAACCAACTTATTAACCTGTAATACAAAACTCTACAAAAAATCTTAGAAACACAACACAACAACGAGATACCTCTATAGTTTGTAAGTACTGACCTTAAACCACCTTTAGGCACCGGAACCAATAAAGAACTCTTCCATTCATCCGGAATAACACCAGTTTTCAAAACCTTATTAAAATTATCTAATAAACAAAAGAAAGCACTATCAATTTTCCAAAATTCAGTAGGAATACCATCTATTCCCGGAGCACCACCAACATTCGACCTACTTAAAACGATTCTTAGTTCTTCCTCCGAAATATAAGAGTCCAATATTTCGTTCGACCAAGTCACGCAATCATTAAAAACCACTAAATCAACATTATATGGACTCTCAGAGCCATAAAGGGAGAAGAAATAACTAAACCAATCAAGTAAACTGATATTTACCTTAACACAACTTCCTCTTGCTTTACATAAATTCCAAAATAATCTATTATTTTTATAAAAGTTTTTAACATTTTGTAACCTATTACAAAATTCCTTCTTCTTTGCTAAACATAATTTCTTTACCAAACTACGGTACAATACAAAAACTTCCCTCTGAACCGCTAAACCGTTTTCCTTAAACTCTAACCAAGCTCTATTTCTAGCTCTAATCATCAATCGACAATCCAAATCAAACCAATCATCAATTCCAACCATAGTCTTTTTCTTTTGAGTCAATCCTTTCACTTTGGCAAAATCCAGTATCACCTTAAAATATTTATAATATAAGTTTCTATATTTAAGTATGGTAGTTAAAAAGTAAATACAAAAGACATTGATATATTAAATTTATTTTTATTAGATTTAAGCGTACAAAAAATCATCCAAGAACACCAAATAAATTTATTAGCTACAGTAGAAGATCATGGGATGCTCAAATTCGTCTTTGGAGAAAACAATTACATAAATGGGATCCTCCTTCTGAAGTTGATGTGTAAGTATTTATTATTTAAATGGTGAAAAAAATTTATAAAAGTTCAAAAACAATACATATTTTTAGAATTCCCCACTCATTAAACTTATTTTACAGGGATGAGCTCGATTTGACAGATATTTCTGATTTTTCATTTGAATTTGATGAAAATATGCCGTCACCATCATGCAGAGATAGCAATCTTCATACTCCATCGACAGAATTAAACTTAGGTGCACAGTCTAAAAATGAAGGAAAACCAAATCCGTCTAACGTCAAATCTAATTTGGTTGAAAGATATCCCGATTACGAATCAAAAATTGATTTTAGTTCATTGGACGAAATGGCATTTGCACTGGAAGAAGGCGTGTTAGATCTGTAAAAATGTTTTGACTGTATTTTTTGTTTTATACCCTGTCATTGAAAATATAATATTTAACAATGATTCATGTACATTCACTGCTATGTATATTTGCTTATTTATTTACTGGCTTTTCATTTTAAAAAAATATCATATTAAGATTATTTTTTCATACCTTGTAATAAGTAGATAGAGAATATTAGATTCTGGTAAGAATGTATAATTTTATTTATCTAAACCACAAGTTTAGAATAATTATCAATATATATATATATATAATTTGAATATAAAGTAATTACTCGACACTAAAATATAGCGGTTAAAAATCTTTTATTTGTAGAAGTAATTAAATAAGAATGGTTGATTAGTATGTTATGAGTGCCAATGTAGATTTATCATCACGTGTTCATAAAATATATAAAGTTTGTGTTGTAAAACATCAATGAGGATGGTTTTCTGACTGAAACTTTTATATTGAAACAGGACCAATTATTAAAAAATATTGACAATGATTTTGATTGACAATGAAAAATTCTTTATTGTCATTTATAGTAGTAGTAATATAGGTAAACTTTTTACTTATACAGTAGTTTAAAAATGCCTGCTCTATATAAACGAATGCTGTTTTTTATCAGTTTCATTATAAATAAAATTCATATAAATGCATATGATTTATTAGTAGTATTTATATTATTGTGTTGATGGAGTGTTTTCCGCATGATGCGCATTATTTATAACCATGCCCAGTGCTATGAGACCAAGGTCAAGGTCGTAACTACATGGAAAAAAGTATTTATATGCTGCTGCTGTTTATTTTTTAAAATATTTTAAAATTGTGTTTCAGTAAATTTCAGTATTGAAATTTACTTAATAGAAATTAAATATTGACTTTTAGTTGTAATTTTTTTCATTAGGATAATTTAGTGGTATTCAAACTGTTCTGTGGATGTTAAAGGCTGAAGATCACCGAAGCAAATAATTGAATCTGCTACTTTTTAACACAATTAAATTTTATACTAAATGACTACTACCAAGAAAGCAAATTATTACAGCTAAAGATTTAATATAAAAGTTATATTTAGAACTTTAAACAAATTCAAGATAGATTTGATGCTGGAGAGTAGAGAATTCTGCCAGTAAGTGATTTACTTTAGTTTGAAATGCTGCTAGATTTGTTGAGTCCCTATTTCACAGAAGTTAAATCACAAAAAATTTTTGTTACTATTGTTAGAAATGATACTGTAGGATGCTTTATCATAAATCTACAGAAATGGCAAGGAATTGACAATTCCTGTCTTGAGTGTTTCAAAGCATTCAGTTGTAACCTTAACCGTTTTATTACCACAGCACATTCAGCTACGTGAAGTAATATTTATTCAGCATATAGATGAGTCAGAGTATACACAGGATGAGTAGAGTTTGAAATGTTTCCAGGAAGTAGCACTTGCTGGTGATTTGTCCGGTGGGTTGAAAAAATGACAATAATCTCAAGTACTGTACTTAGAACTTTAACACATCCAACAATTGTATGGAATAACTTCTAGCAATTTATGTACAGTATTAACTATTCGTACATGAAATGTTTACTTCAGACATTTTTCTTCGGGAGAATTTTTTAGGGAAATAGTTTGTTATAAAAGATTGGTTTCGGGCCTCATGTCAGTGGGTGCCCCAGGCAATTGCCCATAGGATAACTCGCCACCGTAGATTGATAGCTTTGACCACTTACTAAATTCAATACATTATCACAATCCGTAATTGAAATCCAAGTTGTCAGAAGGTAATGCTTCTGACAACTAATTATGTTCAGCCTACGTCAGAAAAAGAGGTATTCTAGGCCATACCTATAGTGAAAATTGGCCCCGCGCTGTTACTGCTTTTTTTTTTTAACTCTGTTGGCACTGAGAGCGTTTTTAGCATACCCATTGCTGGTTTGGCCAGGTCCACAAATTAATTAATAATTTATAATGTTTTATTCCGGATCTCGTGTAAAAATCTTGGTAAATATACAAAAAAAAAAATCAATAAATTTAAGTATAAAAAATTTAGAGTTTTTCCAATTTGGTGTAATCTGAAATGTCAGAGTTGGGTACGTGATCACATTCAGAAGTAGACACTTGAATTAATGTTGCCTCTGCCATGTCTTGAACTCGAGAGAAATTTGCTAAATTTAACAGATCGTCGATTTCTTCCAACTGTTCATCATCATCATCATTTAAATTATATCCCGAAACACTTCCTATTTTGTCATCAAGTTTAATTTTCTTTTCATGAAAACTTTCAGAACATTTCTGAAGATAGGAATTCATATAATAAGATGGTTCGAGTGTTTTGTAAGATGCGTTCTATGTCGATGCTCCATACTAAATGCGTCACAGGTGTACAGACTGGAATCTTCTGTATTAAATGTACCGGTACTTGCCAGAGAATATACTTGATTTTCTGAATATGGAACACAAGTTACTTGGTTAAAATCTTAGTAAGGAGTGACAAACGGATAAGGATCGCAAACGGGATCAAAAGCCACGCTGTAATATAATTGTCTTTTAACCCATTACGGATTTGCTAAAATAGGTCCTCAGTAATCACAGAGAGGAGAGTTTAAAAAGAGGGGGTGCGGAATAAATATTCGGTTTGGTAGAAGGCGAAATGCATATGAATAAGAAAAAGGTAACTGTTTCAAATCGTAATTCGTTACCTCGGAATCGGTGTGAATTGATTATTTTAACTCGGAGACTGTATTCTATATTTTAATCTCGAGAGCGAAGTTAGATACTTGAAAATCGAGACCAGATATGGAAGGAAAGTTTAGGGAGTAAAGTCACGTGAATTTTTAAATTAAAAGATGATTAAAAATTGCAGCCCGACATTGTGACGATGTCACAATAAATAATTATTCGATTTATTATTCTACGAAATAATCTTTTACTCTTCACACTTTGTAGTTTTGGAAATTCGTATTCTGCATGATTTGATATGTACAGTACATAAAAATAACTATTGTTTTATATTATATTTGGAATTTCCCTAAACGACTCTTCAATGTAACCTAGGTCAAGGTTACAATCGAATGCTCCAAAACACCGGAGACGGGAATTTTCCGTGTCAACACTAAACTTTTCAATTATTTCCTAACGTATTCCTAATATACTAATGTAATTAAGCATAGAAAATATTTAATTACATAATTTATCATTATAAATATTATGAAAATAAAGTCATTTTTTAATTTTACTTTTCCGGCTATTTTAAATAACAGAGCCGGGAAAATAAAAAGTAATAAAATAATTTTAGATAGTTTTTATGATTTTTCGTAGTAATTAAGTCTGTCGTAATTAGTTTTAATGCTTATAATGATAATATAATCATTAAGCTATAAAATTTTTATTATACAAAATATTAAAAAATATAATTAAATGCATTTATTAAGTGAAATTAAGAAGAAAATTTATATTATTATTTTTTAAATAAATAATATATACTGTTAGGTATTTAACTTCTTGTAAATATATCCAACCTGTATTATAGAAAAGTAAAGTTCTTCGAATCTTCACAATTAAACTTTATCGCTGTGTTACGTCAAGGGATGAAATCTTTCTTTAGAAAGTTATCTTTACAAATATTTAAATTATTAGAAGCTACTTCCGGAAGGTGTGTCCTATTGTTTTGTGGGAATTTTTACTTTCAAATACCATATATGAGATAACTTCAACCGGTTGAAGGAACGTTGATAAGATCCAATCGTTTACTTGGGAATTTTTATTTACACGTGCGTAAAATTACGCAATTGTTTCTTTCCGCTAATTTTGAAATTTAATTTTTACTAACGAGTATGTTTTTCCTGTTTCCTTGACTAAAATTTCCTATTCGCGGTCACTATTTTGAATCGATTGATGCCATGAAATGAAATTCGCCCCCCGAGTCCTAAATAGGTTTCACGAAAACCACTTTAAAGCATCAGAATTGGAAAAGGGTTGGCATAAATGCATTGCAATGGAAGGGAACGAAATAAATTTTGATGAATAAATTCAAATCTTGCGTTTTATTGAACCATTCCCGATACTTTTTGATCACAGAGGAATAAGAGGCAAAGATCAAAGGGATGGGAGATAGAGGGGTCATGTGCCATATCTGAATAGGGTCAGACTTAATGATAATTTTATTCGTTATTAGAATTCGCAATTGTTTTTACAAAACTCATCTTTACTCTCAAAATTAAGCTTTTTGCCATTTTTATAGTAATATAAAAATATAAAAAGTTTTTTATAACAAAATCTCATAATAGATGGCACCACATACAATTTTATTTATTTTGCTTAATATAAAAATTACTTCTTGGTTTTTGTTCGGGAAAGTTACACAACTCATTATTGGATTTTAAAAAATCCAATAATGAGTTGCGTAACTTTCCCAAAACATCAAAAAGCATTTCTATTACAATTGCAAGCATTCATTATGACGTTTTGACTTTAAAAACAAAAAAGAATATTTAAATATTAACAACGAGGAAATCTTTAAATAGCGTCTATACAATATGCTGTATTATAAATAGACATCACGATTTCCTTCCTTATATTAATATATTATTTATTTTAATCGATATAACGATGTAATTCATAAGGGGATCCATGTTTTATAATATAAATGATAGTAAAACAGTAAAAAAAAGCAATAAAGAAAACGTTATTAACGTTTAAAATTACACTAACTTTTTAAACAATAAGTGTGTTGGCGCCTTATTTCGTTTAATATCTCATGATGACGTGAAGATTAAGAAATGAAATTTGGCTTGGTAGCTTGTGTATAAGGAACATTGATGTTAATGATTATATACATAATATATATGTGTGTGTGTGTTTTTTCATTGTGCGCACAGTTCGAACTCCGAGTCGAATTTCTCTCGAATATAAAGTTCGAACTTTGAAACATGCGAAGTTAAAATCGTCTAAAGTACTAAGTACTGTATCATTTAACTACTGCAAATTTATTTTGAGGTTGTTTCAATATTTTACAGCAAACAATGATTACAAATATAATTTTCTTTAATGAATTTTTTGCCAAAAGTACGTGATAAACAGCACGTTATGATCTGTTGTTTATGACGTAAATCATTTGACATGCTATTTTGATGGGATTAAAGTTAAAAAGAAAATTCAACGTTCTTCTCGTAAATTTTTCAACTTTCAACGTCCTGCGGGCACTAGGAGGGCTTATAAACAAGTTCGTAGCGGATTTAACCATGTTCACAAGGAGGACGATTGAATTGGTTGGTGAAAGATAGGCCAGGAACACACATACGTAAAATTCGGCGTAGAATCTAGCATAAAACAGAAAACGTAAAAATCTTTCTGAAATTTTTACGCTTTCTGTTTTATGCTAGATTTTACGCCGAATTTTACGCATGTGTCTTCCTGGCCTATTTCATTGGATTTCAAATCTGTTTTGTTTCCATTAAATTCGTTATTTTTTTTAACTATGCCCTTTGGATGCTAAGAGAACCTCTTTTAGCAAGCTCATAATGAATTCGGTCAGGCCCACAACGAGGCCACCGGGTGGTGAGAGATGGGTACCACCATCCAAAAAATCCCTGCGACTTTTTGACCCGTCCGGATTCGATTCAGGGTCCCCAAAGCGCCTTGACCGCTCCTCCATTCGATCGTCTATGGGTTTAATTATGTT